AATTGTTTAGTCAGAAGCCCTCTGACCATTTCTGCTTCAGAAATAAGTGAAATGTAACTTTATGTATGCATAGCTAAGGATACTGTCAAGAATAGAAAGTGCCTTGAATTTGTTATTTTATATTCTATTTGCTTTAGACTCCCTCTCCAGAACCCTGCCTTTAACTCCTAGTTGCATTAAAATCATTATTATTCTATATCTTTCCTCAACTCTGAAAGGTCATCATGATCTTCTCGAGACCCACTCCCTGCCCTTTTGTTAGGAAAGTGCCCAGACAGAAAGGTGGGACAATAGTCTCAGTGCATTTCAGATGTTTTCCTTTCCTGAGGCAGCAGGAGCCTGAATTTCCTTTTTTCTAATATTTAATGCTTTCTCAAAAACAAACAAAAAACAGAAAGTTAAATCTGGTCAAAGTAGTCTAAAATAGTGACTTTGGTTTTCCTTTGATTTTACTCATATGGATTTTGTATGTTTTATGCCATAAACTTTAGGGAATTTACTAAGAGTAAATCCACACAGCACAGCAGCAATCAGATAGAACTAGGATGACCACCAACAAGATCTTGTCATCCTCCTCCTCAAGAATACTTCAGACCTTAAACCTGTTAAATGAATAACTTTACTCCTCTATCCTCTGAGTCCTACCTTGTGCTAAATGTTTATGTGACATTTCTACACTTTCAATATAATAGTGAGCTAAATTTATGACACGTACAGTATTCTCAGCTTACTCCTGAGTGAATTCTCATCTTGTAAATGATAGGCTAAAACTGATCAGATCATTTGTTAGTCTAACTCTTCTTGTTTTATATCCTTAGATTTTATTCCTTTTATTAGTAGATTGAGTAACAAGTTCCTGGAAAAGATGTCTCACATAGGTCATAGATTAATCAAGGTTCACTTCTTTTTTTCTTTTAAATGTTCATTTCCAAAATGCAATCCTTCTGATAAGTGCAGGGCTTAAGAGTTTAGGTAAGGTGGATTTCTCAGGCTTCATAAATTCAAGTTAGTAGTTTGAATTATGCATTTACTTACCATATTTACTATGACACAGAACTCTAAAAAAACTCTAATGATTATTATCCTTATATGTGAAGAAATGTTCTGGTGTCATGGTTAAAGAACAGAGACTTTGAAGGCACAGAGACTTAGTTTTGGACTCTGGCTCCTAGTATTGATCACCTGAGGAACTATAGGCAAAATTACTTCTTTGAATCTTAATTTAAGCCTTTGTAAATAGTTCACAAAAAAATAAGGTTATTTGTTGAAAATATTAAACACGGTGTCTTGATTACTTTTCTCTCATTGCTGGGAAAAAATACCTGATGCCCAAAATTAAGGAAGGAAAGGTTTATTTCACTTACAGTTTGTGGAGGTTTTAGTCCATACTTGGCAGGTTACAAGGCAGACTGGCACATGGCAGAGGGCTACAGCTCATGGTGACAGAACACAGCAAAGCAACAAGACACACACAAGGGAGGAAATGGCCAGAAGCACGCTCTTTCTCTCCCTTACATGTGCAAACTATCCACCCCAGGGTGGGTGTAGCTCTCACACCCATAATCAATCAAACTCTAAAAGCCTGCCCCATGGCCACATGAGGCTTTGTGGGGACACCCAGACACAACCCATAACACACAGTGCCTGTCATCTAGTAAGTACTCAAAAAAAAAAAAAAATCAGTGCTGCAGCTTAGATCTCCACTGTCCCCCAAATACTCATATTTGGAAGGGTTGGTCACCATCCTGTGGTGAGTGAAAACCTTGGGAGGAAGGGCCACTGGAAGGAAGCTGGATCATGAAGGTATGCTGTTGAAGGGCATACTCAGTCCCCAACCCCTCCTGTGTCTCTCCCTCTTTGCTTTCTGGCCACCATAAACAGCATCTTTGCTCCACTGTGCACTTCTCTTCTACCCCACCATAGGCCATGATGCAATTAACTGACCACAGTCTGAAACCTCTGGAACTGTGAACCAAATTAAGTTGGGAGGTAGGAAAATGACAAGTATACCATAGAAAGCCGTAGGCCAAATTGAGAAATTAAATCAAGGAAGACAATGCCAATATCAGAACCCTAACAGATAAAAGTCTTTCTGTCCCCAGCAGCCCCCCATGCATATGCAAAACAAAAAGTATAGTACATGACCCTAGCCTGAGTCCAACCTCATTTGCATAGCGGTTTTGACTTGCCATCCAAGGGCTTTAGATGTCACAACACCTACTCCAAAAGCCTTCCACCAGCTCTTATGCAGGGACTGGTAGACCATGAATGTGCAGCAAATCCTGAATTACAGCGTCACTTTGGAGCACTGGTGTATCTTGTTCAGCTTGTTTTAGATAGTTGCCCCACCACGCCTGAGGTACATACATATGCAATTCCATTAATCACAGTGAATGACTTTCTATTTTAGTGATTCTCAACTCAATGAAGGAAGTGGAAAGAAGGTAGACAAACTGCTCAGCTCTACTGAAAGTCTTTAGTTGCTATTATATTGTGTGCATTTTGAGTATCCAGATATCTCTACAGCTTACCAGATTATTGACAAATAAGATCATATTTATTAACACGCAAATGTACACTTTTGCTTGCACTTGGCCGTGCAACTTTTTAAAGTCCACCCTACTATCAGCTCTTGTCCACCCAGTGTTCCGTAGAATGATCAGGATATTTCTCTTGTGTTCCCATGGAATTCAAGAACTATCCCTTTACTGCAAGTTTCTCACACTGAGTCCCTACTGGCAGTGTGTATTTTCATTACCACAGCAGGCAACTCACCCTAATGGCAAAACTGAAGGACCATTTCTGGAAATTCCCATAGCTTCTGACTTTGGGGACGTCCAAGCAAATCTGAGCTCAGTTCTGATGGGGGTAATGTGCAGCAAGATAAAGCTGTTACTGGGGTCCTTATCACAGCTGCTCATGTCCAGAACCACATACAGGGCTTCAGGAAAGCAGCTCTGTCAGCCTCTGCTGGAATCCCCTCTGTCCTGCCTGTGCAGTTTGGGAGACAAATGTCTTCCTTTCCTTTTCATGGCCATCTTCATCACTTTAGCAGATAAGGAAATAAATAAGTGTGTCTTTCACTTCACCAGAATACCAAGATCCCTTATACATCATTTCACACAAATAAGCAGTGAGAAATTACAAGTTCAAGTAGCCAGACACTGTGTTCTCACCTAGACTAAGCTGTGGCACCCTGTCACTCATATGAAGACAGCAGGAGGCTTGTTTTAGTCATTAGTTGATGCAGTGTTACCCTGATTCATGGTCAGACATTGTAAACCTGATTCTTCCTGTTTCAACCTAAACTCACTTTGTTATACTTATGAGATTAGTAATGAGGAATTTCAGTTCCTTCTTAGATCACTGAGATTGAAGTATAATTAACTGATTAGGGCCTGTTTCCCATTTTTAATATAAAGGGACCAATCCTCTAGGTTTCTAAAATCCCTCCCTGGCCTAACACTGCATGAGATCTGGTGCAAATTAAACAGAGCACTCTCCGCGCTGGTGGCTTTCAGTGATAGTGGAAGAGGTCATAGCACTCTCTGTGACAACAGTTCGGTATTATATTTAGAGTGTCTGTTATCACCTTCATTGTAAACCTCTTCCTTTCATGTACAACTCTAGTGCAGCCTGTGAGGTGTATTATGTCTTAAGCAGTTTATTTAAATTAATACCACTTTCTCAAATAGTGTTGAATATGAAGAATTAAGGCAATGTGCCCAGCAAGAAGAAAATCAGTTTGAAGTGTCTATCTCAATGTGCACTCCTGGGCCTCCACAGAGTGGATCTACATGATAGTTTCTCATCACTGCCAACGTCAAGGTACTATATCATGTAGGCACACTTAATGAACAGCAACCAAAACTGTTGATACGGTTCTCTCCTATTAGCAGTCATAATATTTCGCTTTGGAGTTTCATTCCAGCAGCCTCAGCAGTTTGGGTCACAAGTTTGACAGTGCCAAGACCTTCAAATTGAGGTTGTTTGTACTCTCTCATATGTCCGTGTGCAGATAACATTGTTCACGGAGCTTTCCTAGAAAACAAAAGAAGAATGAGGTACTTCGTATTGCTGATGAAACTGACATGTAGGAAGATATAAATCATGTGCATGACATTTTCTGAAAATCTTGAGAAGAAAATACCGATAAATATGATTCATATGGTACATAAGTGGCATATTTAGTATATATTTGTATATGTATAAAAAGCAAGGCATATAATTTGTAGTCTGAGGTTTTCATTGAAATACTTTAAATGCCCATGTTGAAGCATTTTTGCTATTTCATATACTTTATCTTTTCAAAGAATAATACTGTTAAATTAATGTAATATCTTACACTTTTCAGAGAACTGATATGTGTACATGATGAAATTTAATTCTCTTGGAAAACCTACCATGACGATATTATCTATACATTTCAGTAAGGAATCTGAATTTTGGAGGGGATAGATGACATTCCAAAGTCACATGATGCTGAGTGGCAGGGATAGAAAGCCACGTCCACAGATTCTGCATCTAGTGCTCTTCCTAATGAACTGCTTATTTATTGGCTATTCTTTGAATTATTTAATTATCTGGCATTATATTAGCCAATGTTACTATAAGAAAGAATAAAATCATTCTTAGTTCTCCTCTTTTAATGTTTCAAGGAATAAAATATGCTCTTCTCTGTAGAAAGTAAAAATCTCTATGTTAAGAAATACAGATATTTTTGTTATTGCCATATAAATCTTGCATTTTTCCTCTGATTATGTGTTATGTCCAAAATTACCATTTTATTAATTGTGGTGCCGGTGGGATTTGGGAGGAGAACTGCTGACACTTTTTCTTCTACTCTTCACTGAAGGAGAGCAGAAGAGACTCAAAAATGTATGAATTTTGAAATTAAGCCAGCTGGATTATAATCCCAACATTAGCACATTTTTCTACTTTTCTACCCCTAGAAAAGTCAATGTCTGAATCTTAGTTTCCTCACCTGTTAAATGGGCTAATAAATTTTACTGCAAAGGATTATTGAGGATTTGGTAAGTAACACAAGAAGATGTGGGAATGTGGTAACAAGTCAGTGTCATTTCTTACTTATGTTAACCCATCCACACACCAACAAAACAGCCTTTCTCTTTCTTATCCCTAGTTCAGACTTCCTTCTTGTGCTTTTGTTCGGTGCTGATTTGGTGAAATAGTGAGAGGTTAATCCTGGTCAATGGTGAAGGACTGGCAACAGCCCTCAGTCCCTGTTGAAACCTTTGCTGACAAACACATGCTTATTTTTGTTCATGCATGAGTTGAAGAATTATTTATTCTCTTTAGTTGTTTAGTTCCTCAGTTCACACACATTTGGCAACTTTTATGATGACGCATTTGTCTGCCAATGTTTGCTGTCAACCCCTTAAAGTAAGAGAAAAATAGCATTCATTTTTATTCTTTCAAAACAAGTTACTGACGTGATTTTATATTAGGTTTTGCAATAGTGGAAAGAATAGTGAGAAACAGCTCACTTACCACTACCATCTTCCCATCCACCAGCTTTCTTCGGATAGTGGCTTCTTTGCCATCCCAGTCCTGAACTTGAACCAAGGAGTCATTGTCTAAGGTTATGATGCTCTGGAAAACAGACCAGAACTAATTCACATCAGGTCATCACATTTGAGCACTAACATTTTATCAGGTGTCAAATTTTTTCAGCTATTATGATGCTCTCAGGTAGTTCCAGGATGGTATTTATAGTCCCACTTACTTTCAGAGTTTTTCAGCAGTCAGTCAATTTGTGGGCTGATTCTTCTGGTGAGAGGAGAGTTTTACAACAGTAAAGATATAATAACTTCAAAAGTAAGTGAAACTTTCTTTTTATTGTTTGTCATATATGTAAGGTATTATCTTTTGAGTAAAGAATCACAGGTAAGTTTCAACTTTAAAAATATACATGAGCTAATTCAAACTCCCATTGTTAAAGCCTAAGGAGAAAAGTCTTATCTTCCTACCCAAATGATATTTTTTTGTTAGAGTAGGTTTTTTTTTAAACAAGAACAGACATAATTTTAAAATATTTTTTGCCAAAATTCTTTTATTTTATATTGTACACAAATATGAGGAATCATATTTATAAGTAGCTATCTTTTCACATGATATACTGCAATAGGTCCATTTTTTAGGATACTTCCCTCCATTGAAAACAACAATCCCCTATTTAGTACATTCATTCAAACACTGAGTATTTACGGAACACCTATTATGTACCAAGCACTGGAATCTGTGATACAAATGAGAAATAATGTCTTTGCATTATTTTCCTTGTGGAATGAGGAAACAAGTGATAAACAATAAACAAATTAGAAATAAAATATGGACTATAAACTGATGTGTTGCAGTTGGAGCCCATGAGATCTGAATGAAAGCTGAATGTGTTACTTTCAAACTGAGATAATAAAAAGCTCAGTCTTTCGCTCTCCCTCTCTTGCTGTCTCTTTTTGTCACTCTCTGTCTCTCTCCCTCTCTCTCCCTCCCTCTCTCTCTCTCTCTTTTTCCTTCCCTGTCTTATTGTCCCCAGGAGACTGTAAGTCAGTTACCAGGTAGCTAAAACTTCTTTGGCCTGGATCCTTAAGAGATTAAGAGGGACAGAAATCCTGTCCACCCTCCACACACACAGACCACCTCAATTCCACCCCCAACATTGCCTGTGCATTGAGCTAGAAATAATTCCCCATTGTGTTAAATCACTGAGACCTTCTGACTCATCTGTAATGGAGGCATCACATTGCCTATACCAGCTGACACAGGCTGTATTCATCATACTTCTGTGTGTAGGAAGAGAGAACTTTTGTTTCTGGGAGGACTAAATATTATCTTTAAAAATGATTCTCAAAATGTGGCCTGCTAAGTATTTGAGTCAAAATTGTTAAAAATGCAGTTTTCAAGTGCCCACCCTAGACTTCAGTGCCCTGAGGTCTGGAAGTGAGCAGTAAGCACTTTCCACAAGCATCCCGGGAGATTTCAACGTATGCTAATGCTCAGTATCTTCAGACTTAGGTTTTAGGCAGAAGTGTTTGCTATTATTGCTAACTTGGAAAAATTTCTAATTAACCTTGATGAAAGTTACCCAAAAGACAATTGTACACCTCACCTTGCTTTTATGGCCAGCTGGTGTGGTTTCTTCAAACTCTTCACCAAGTTTAAAGGAGATCTCGTTATTTTTAAAGATGCTCTTGGTTTTTATGGTAATCACATCTCCATTTATTCTAATGGTCACAGTGGGTTTTGACAGACAGCCCAGTTTCCTACTGGCTCTTCCTATTCCTAGAAACCAGATGAATGGACAAATAGCTAAACCTATTGTTGGCTCAGAGAACTCACATGCTTTGTATAATTTCTTGCATGGAGGAGATTTTTTACAGAGATTTAATGCTGCATGAATTCAACTATCTCATACTAGTAGTTCCACCATTATATAGTAAAATGGACTATTTTTTGACAGAAAAAAGTGTCCAGTTTTTATTTGTGACTGTCTTGTTTCTCTAGTGCAGACATTATTAATCTTTTAGATTTGTGCACTCCTTTGAAAATCTAATTAAAGCTATAAATCATCTATTTTAAAAATATACCCTTTTCACATACAAATAAAATATTTGGTATAGAGTCTTCCAGGTCTTTAACTCTTCAT